TATATTAATAAAAGTGAAATTTTATTTCATTTTTTGTAGCGTGTTGCTGCTGCTTTAAAAATTAGTTTAAGGACAGTTAGTCGTATTTCCGAGGGTGTGAAAAGTGATGCAAATTTAGAATCGCCCAAGAAAAAGCGGAGTTATATTAAACGTGTAACCAACACAGCGACATTGGATACAAGTGCCATTCGAGAAGTGATCTATAATATGTATCACAAAAGTAAGATCTTATTATAATAACTTATCAGAAATTTGCATTAATTTGTTAACTAAATTATAATGTCATATTACACATGGTTTCAGAAGAACAAGTTACGATACAAACTTTATGGTCTCGATTAAGAGATAGGGCATTATTTGATGGTAGTGCCACGTCTTTAAGGCGGTTGCTTAGAGATCTTGGATTTAAGTGGCTTAAGGACAATCCGCGACGAGGGCTCATGGAACTACCAAGTATAGCTTTGAAAAGGGTGGAATTTCTAATGCAATACAATCAAGCCAAGGTTGAGGCCTTATACCAGTTTGTCTTCCTCGATGAAACTTGGATATTTCAAAATGGGACCATAGGTCGCTCTTGGCAAAATGGAAACCAAAAAAGCGTGAAAGCTATTAAAACAGATGGTAAAAGGTATGTACTTTTACACAATTTGCACTATAAAATTTAAAACTAATATATTTTAGATACATTATATTACATGCTGGAAATGAAAATGGGTTTATTGAGGGTAGTGAAGCGATATTTTCTTCGAAAACAAAATTGAGCGATTACCATGGAGAGATGAACCAGGACAATTTTTTGAAATGGTTTCAACATCAGTTATTAGAAAAATTGGAGAGTCCATCTATGATTATACTGGATAACGCCCCTTATCACAGCATGATATTGAACAAAGTGCCCAACAATGCATGGACAAAAAAAAATATCCAAGACTGGTTGACAAATCAAAACATACCATTTTTAAACACAATGTTTAAAACAGAGCTATTGAGTATTCTTAAAATAACTGCTTTTTTAGAAACAAACCTAAAATATACGTGATTGATGAATTGGCGGAACAACATGGGCACAAAGTTCTTCGTCTGCCTCCTTACCATTGTATATTTAACCCTATTGAGTTAATTTGGGGCATAGCAAAAGGTTACTATAACAGACATATTGGTAGAGATGGTAACAGTGAAAAAGACTGTTTGGATATGTGGAACGAGGCTCTACAAACGGTTACCCCAGACATGTGGAAAAATAGTGTTCGACATACTGAGCAAGAAATTTTTAAATGGTATGAAAGAACGAATTTTTGATCGACCAGACATCGAACCTTTAATAATCAACTTTGAGAGTGATGAAGATTCAGATTCAGACAGCGCTGAAGAAAGAAACTCCGACTAACTTTATTGTACAGAAAAAGCTTACACCAGTAGCTTACCTAATTTTAGAATGCATTTTTCTGTATGAATTCTGTAAAATAAATACCATGCATAAAATTTGGAGGACCCCATTTGGATTTTTATTCAGTACCTTTAAGCTATCAATTAAATATGGTAGTTTCATAGTGTCATCTGATCAATAATTGTCATACTTAATGATTATGCAAGTACAGATCTATAATTTTATTATACTATTATTTTTGTTCTCATTTGAGGTTAATATTGCTTATAAACCTAGATATGTAAATAATAAATTTTATTATTTTACAAAAAGTTTGGCAACAATGTAAATTTTTCAACACACCCACCTTGATGACGTGCACGCCACTTTGTTTGGCGTTGACTATAACAACAGATGTATGCCGAGCACAGCGATTTTGTACTACAAAAGTTGTAATATCGTTGCATATGTACCGCCTTTAACAGTTACTAAACAACAGTTGTATAAGTGCTTCCGTTGGGAGCAATTTGTTGGCTAAAGTAGTAAATTTGCACAGCAAAACAACAAGGCACGCGTTTGTTTTATAAACGTTACCATGGATACCATAACACAACCATTTTGACTACCGTGCAAATATGCCGTACAAAATAGTTGTATAAACGTTTATGCAACAGTTAAAAGTTTGTCCTATAAGGTGTTGTATAACTATGCTATAAGAATATTTTAAACACCTCAATTTGCATTCCACTTTCCACACAACATTAAGCCAGTATTTTGGTGTGCAGGCAACAACAATAGAGAGCTTTTATGGCTGAACGGTTCTTTTACCAAAAGCTTATAGCACTACTTTGCTAGTTGGGCTATTTCGTAAGAATGTATACCAACCACCTCTAGCTGTAATGATAATTTTTTCCTTGGAATTGTCTACATTTAATTCATAATGAAAAAGAGCCAGGATTAAGATACAGCAATTTAAGGATACCTCCCTTATTGCGTCTTGTGGCACCTATCTAATCTACCCTAAACAATTTACCGCCACTCGGGCTCACCTCATTCAGTGCAGCGCCCTGTCAAGTCTCTCGAGCTAATTTATTTACAGCCCAAGCACGAAATTATTTATGTCCATGAGGGTCGTGCAGATCTCAGAGTTCTAATGTACCCTTAGGGTTCCTTCTGCTTACCTTAGTAATTAGTGTTCAGTTAGACGGGTAAGGTTTGTACCTAGATGGGATTGAATTATAAATGTAAAGTACACGCTAGACGTCCTTATATTGCTCGTCGTACCGCAGACTTTCTTCAAGAAGCAGGAGTTGTTGTAGGAGTTGCAGGAATGTTTTGCCGTGGACACCTCGTTCACCGGATTTAAATCCCATCGAACACTTGTTGCTGGGAATGAGGTGTCACAACCAGACGTCGATCATCTCATGTTGTCGACCAACACATTAATTTTTTTCTTACTACTTGTCAATAAAATTTCGCCAATCATTGTTGGTTAATTCTAATAACAGCGGATACAAAAATCGAATGAGCACGCGGCAAATATGACGCTACGGCCGAAATGAAAAACAAAATCGGGTAGCGAATACAACAACAAACCACAAAATATTGTAAACCCACAAAGGGGGTGGAAGATTTAACGCAGATAAGTTCAGTTTCCCATCTTAAAAATCTAGACGTACTTTTGATCATTATTAAAATATGAATCAAATACGAAGCCCGTAGAAATTGCGTAACTACTTCGCACGATAATCACAATAAAATTTGCTGCGCAAGTAATTCAATAGCCCTATATTACAATGTAGAAGTTCATCATATACCTGTGTATGAAATTCACAATGGCCGATATGTAAGTAAACAAGATGACTGTAATGTGTTAGTTTTATATTCTTCACTTCGTCTATACAATACATAAGAAATAGTTTGGTTGCAACAAAGTAGAATCACGTAACAGAATAGTTGTATAGTTGACAAAAACTGAATCTTGCACTGACGCAAATGTTCTATACTAAGTGACATATAAATCCCAACACCCAGTTTAAATGGTTTTACTTTAATAAAATTTTGTATAAGTACTTAATGAAGCATAATAGGTAAATGATAAAAATTTCAAAATGATTGCACTGCTTTAAAGCACTTTGACCTTTAATAATGTGTGGATGCACCCTGATGTGCAGCGCATTCTCCAACGCGCCTAGGCGTGCTTCTGATCAGGTGGTCAATGTTCTCCTGTGGTATCTCATTCCAGGCAACCACCAACGCCTCTCGAAGTGCTTCTACAGTCTGAGGAGGACGTTGCAAATTGAGCAATCTCCTACCCATCATATCCCACACGTGCTCAATTGGGGATAAGTCGGAAGATCTTGGTGGCCATGGTAACAATGTGACATCGTTATGTTGAAAGAAGTCTATTGTGACTCTTGCAACATGTGGTCGTGCATTATCTTGTTGGAAAGTTGGATCTGCCAGGGTGTCAAGATAGGGTAAAAGATGGGGTTCTAGAACTTCGTGGATATAACGCTGCGCGTTCATGTTACCTCTGATGAAGATTAAAGGTGACCTGGAACCATAAGCTATAGCACCCCAAACCATAACTCCAACAGTGTGATGAACATGTCTTTCAACAAAAAACTGTGGATTCCTCCTTTCACCACGTCGCCTTCTAACCCTGGCACGACCATCGTGCATGCCTAAACAAAATCGGGACTCGTCACTAAAGACAATACTGTTCCATTCCTGATCCCAGAGTGACCGTTGTCTGCACCACTCAAGGCGATTACGTCGGTGTTCTCGAGTTAAAGGGAGGACCAGTGTGGCCGGTATGAAAACAAGCCAAAACTTCTCATTCGTCGGTAAACACTTCGCATGCCAATAGGTCTTCATTTCAATGGACCTGATAGTGGAGAAACGGTCCCTTAAGGCCAATAATCTTAGGCGGCGATCTTCACGGTCTGTTGTTCTACGACGGCGTCCAGTGCCCCTTGCTCTTTGCGTACGGCCTTCTCGAAGCCATGCCTGACAACACCTAACCTCAGTGTCTACACTTCTTTGCACTCTAACTGCAATTGCCCGAAAAGAAAGTCCAGCTTCCCGAAGTCCCACTATACGGCCCATATAAAACTCACTAAGTTGACGAAATCGTACAGGTCTCCGTACTCTAGGCATCGTAACCGATCGTAAAGGATGTCAAGAACCAAAATCCGCCAACGTTGATTCTTTACTGCGGCTGAAATATTCATTTTTAGAGCGTTAGTGAATTAAAAAAAGCAGTATAAAAACCGGAATGTCCAACTGATAAGGCTGAAAATTTTTTCACTTGTTATTTACAGTAAGATAAATACATTCACCAACTTTTATTAAAATAAAACCATTTAAACTGGGTGTTCGGATTTATATGTCACTTAGTATATGTCACTTAGTATATAATGAAATGTAATATTCGTGATCACAATATCCCACGCTTCTGCGTCAGAAATAAAATCCTACATATATGAATATTTTCCGGCAACGGAGCCGCTGTTTTCCGCATCGCGCCTCAGTAACATGATCATAAAAAAAAAATAAGAAAAAAGTTTCACTTCCAAGTTGTCGCCATGAAAAATTATGTGAATTGAACTGTTACTTCGTCGCTTCTTACCTGTCTTTCCTCTCGCTGAGCAATCGCTGTCCGACCTGTGGTGACCTAGAAACTTTTCGCTGAATCCCTGGATTTTCTCCACGAGCATTTCTCCGTAAGTAGCCGGTTTGTCTTCGGTGTGCCTCAGGTTCGTTTCTCCTATGGAATTAACATTTGGTGTAGATCCTGAAAGGAATTATCAGCAAATGCATCCAGAAACTATAAGCAGTTAGTTGCGATTGTGGACGTTAGTGAGTTATTCGGAGCCGTGATGCTCGACCAGGTGACATTCATGATAGTTTGTGAGTTTGGATGTCTTTCGGTGAAACTTGGTTGATACATTTCACATGGCAGCGAAACGGAATCACGAATGAAATTATATCAAGTACGAGGTCTAAGTGATGAGATTGATTTTTTTAATCACACAAGTCGTGACCAAAAATGAAACATCATACACAGGGCCGCATTTCAAGGAGGGTCTTCCATGTAACATTTTTTCCATGAGCGCTAAATAATAATAATAATAATAATAATATTTATTCACTCAATGTACAAAAAGAACAAACAACATGAGCAAATAAATATAAAATCACAACAGGCCGAACAGAAGGCATTGCCTGTGCATGGTCCAATAATTTTAAGTTGCAACTGTGGCTAATTTTTGTCCTTTTTTGGAGTAGATCATGTATTTACTTGATGTTCTTACTTATCAGCTTATGAATTTAAGTCCTAGATATACTAAGTGACATATAAATCCGAACACCCAGTTTAAATGGTTTTATTTTAATAAAATTTTGTATAAGTACTTAATGAAGCATAATAAGTAAATGATAAAAATTTCAAAATGATTGCACTGCTTTAAAGCCCTTTGACCTTTATAATAATGTGTGGATGCACCCTGATGTGCTACGCATTCTCCAACGCGCCTAGGCATGCTTCTGATCAGGTGGTCAATGTCCTCCTGTGGTATCTCATTCCAGGCAACCACCAACTCCTCTCGAAGTGCTTCTAGAGTCTGAGGAGGACGTTGCAAATTGAGCAATCTCCTACCCATCATATCCCACACATGCTCAATTGAGGATAAGTCGAGAGATCTTGGTGGCCATGGTAACAATGTGACATCATTATGTTGAAAGAAGTCTATTGTGACTCTTGTAACATGTGGTCGGGCATTATCTTGTTGGAAAGTTGGATCTGCCAGGGTGGATATAACGCTGCGCGTTCATGTTACCTCTGATGAAGATTAAAAGTGACCTGGAACCATAAGCTATAGCATCCCAAACCATAACTCCTACAGTGTGATGAACATGTCTTTCAACAAAAAACTGTGGATTCCTCCTTTCACCACGTCGACTTCTAACCCTGGCACGACCATCGTGCATGCCTAAAGAAAGAGACTCGTCACTAAAGACAATACTGTTCCATTCCTGATCCCAGAGTGACCGTTGTCTGCACCACTCAAGGCGATTACGTCGGTGTTCTTGAGTTAAACGGAGGACCCAGTGTGGCCGGTATGAAAACAAGCCAAAACTTCTCATTCGTCGGTAAACACTTCGCATGAGAATAGGTCTTCCGTGTTCTGCAAACCATTCATTTGCAATGGACCTGGTAGTGAAGAAACGGTCCCTTAAGGCCAATAATCTTAGGCGGCGATCTTCACGGTCTGTTGTTCTACGTCGGCGTCCAGTGCCCCTTGCTCTTTGCGTACGGCCTTCTCGAAGCCATGCCTGACAACACCTAACCACAGTGTCTACACTTCTTTGCACTCTAACTGCAATTGCCCGAAAAGAAAGTCCAGCTTCCCGAAGTCCCACTATACGGCCCCTATCAAACTCACTAAGTTGACGAAATCGTACAGGTCTCCGTACTCTAGGCATCGTAACCGATCGTAAAGGATGTCAAGAACCAAAATCCGCCAACGTTGATTCTTTACTGCGGCTGAAATATTCATTTTTAGAGCGTTAGTGAATTGAAAAAAGCAGTATAAAAACCGGAATGTCCAACTGATACGGCTGAAATTTTTTTCACTTGTTATTTACAGTAAGATAAATACATTCACCAACTTTTATTAAAATAAAACCATTCAAACTGGGTGTTCGGATTTATATGTCACTTAGTATATTTTTTAAATTTCTTTTGAAACATTTTCCGAAACGTAAATCTTTTAAGTCTTTAGGTATAATTTCATAAAATTGTGGCGCTAAATAGTGATATGACCGCTGTATTATAGATTTATGCGGCTGAGGAACTACTGTGCCACGAATTTTGTACCTTGTGTAATGATTAAGTTTAATTTTTTGGTCGGTGTTTACAAATTTATGGTAGTGAGTGATACTGTGTAAGAAGTAAAGCTGTCTTATATCATTCATTCTGCGTATAATTTGTCAGTGAGTTAAAATATCGGTTTTCTAAACATCATTTTTCAGAATACTTTTTTGAAAAGCATCTAAATTATAGATATGTGAGGAACATGCAGCTTCCCATGCTAATATACCTTCCTCGTTTTCAAGATACTGGCAAGAATTCAACTTTGTCAAAAAACGACTAATAAAAAAATTTCTAAAAACTCTTGCGCGTCTATGATCGAGATGGAACTTTGTTTTCTGGGTAAATCAGATGCGTAGATTCCAAATTCGATGTCGAGACATTGCTAGGATTTACCTCTATCCATGAAAAATAGTTTCTTGTCAACGTTTCATCCTAAATCCAGTCTGATAACACTTTAGAATTTTTTCACTATGATATTCATATCCAGCGCCCCAAATTACTCATTGAGCAAAGCTTTGCTTCCATGTAGCCATCGATAGTAAGAATGGATTTTTAGCACCTTAAAGTCGCAAAAAAACGCATGTTTATTGATGGAAATGTGGATGCAAACAAATATTTGGCAATTTTAGAAGAATCGCTTTACCAGTGATGAAAGAATGTTTGACATCCGGCCAAGATTTTGTGTTTCAGCAAGATGGTGCAGCGTGCCATACCTCAAAAAAGGCTATAAAATGGATGGACGAAAATAATGTACCACTTTTGAAATGGGTTTCTAGCAGTCCAGATCTGTCACCTATTGAAACTTTGTGGCACGAGATGAAAAAGGTTCTACGACAACATCCTGCTCGTATAATCACCGAACTGAGACAAAAGCTTCAAGAAATATGGGATTGTTTTACACCAAAACTTTGTTAACACTATGCCCCAAAGAATTTCAGCCGTAATAAAAAATAAAGGTGATGTTACCCAATGGTAATCTTTCAATTGTTCCTTTGTTAACTTCGCGCATTTATTCGCACATTGTTTATTTGTTTAGATGTTCTATTAGTTATAGGTCTAAGTATGTATACTTTACGACTAGAATGTATCTAAAATGTTTTTGAGAAAATAAATTGTTTTAGAAGTAAATAGTTTCGTCATGTTTAGTTTATAAAGGCATATTTTGGTACAAATCTTGAAGTGGGCCAACTGAAGTGGGAAGGGGCTCGTATAATGTTTGTTGGGTATTACTTTGAAAGCGACAAAATAGATATTCATGAATAAATAAATAATTCTTGAAAAAACATGAAATTCACGATACTTTTCGAACAAATCTCGTAACTGTGTATGAACAAGTCATAGTTCAAAACTAGTTTGACCTCAGCTTTACGTAAAGACTTCGAAAGGTCCATGTTTCACGTTTCTCGACAAACAACTCTTCCATAGCGACCGTACGAGCATTGTTTTTTGCATTGTTAGCATTACACACAAAGGCCCTTGTGCCCTTGGTCTGCTGTATTCCTTTGAATCCGTAAATTGCCTCCGGTCGTAAAGGCGAAGGCAAAGTTTACGCGCTTTGCTGCCATCTGTCGACTGTTTAAAAATTCATCGGCCCTTTGTGATTTGAGGTCCATGTTCAAAGGTGCTTTCAGTCGCTCATGCTTGTTTGTTACGTGAATTGCGATGAAATTAGACGAAAAAAACGTGTTCAAATAAATTATATTATACTGGGGAAATTATTCAAGTCAAGTCATCGTTGGTTGTCAGAGCGGTCCGTGGGACCTTAGATCTCGAGTCACAGTGTCAGTTTGTGAGTCTGTCAGGTCTGGCAACCCAGAAACCAGACGATTTTAAGGAAAAAAGGAAAGGAAAGAAGGAAGAACGAGAGCAAAGGGGAAGACGAGAATCTTTGAGGATAGGCAGCTTTTAGGCATTGTTAAAATCACTTCACTGATTTTGATATGGTCTAAAAATAGTCGATTTTTTCGAAAGATCTTGTCAAAATGCTCCAAGTTCACGAGTTAATTTTGATTACAGTGCGAACCGCGGCGTTTTGTGCTTGCGAACTTGCTCGACTGTGTAGTCTACTGACTCACGCAACAGAGGGTTGTTGTGCGATTCCGCTAGGCTATAGCGCCGCTGCGCCTGTTGCTTAATGTAGTCCTTTAGGTAAGGGACATCGAGGTCTCTATATAGAGTTTCGTTAGAAACATACCATGGGGCATCAGCAACAGTGCTCAACGTCCTGCTTTGCAGAAGCTGCAGATTTCGCATGTGTGTTTTAGCAATAAAACACCAAGCCGCACATGCGTAAGTCATTGCTGGTTTTATCACCACCTTATAGAGTCGAATCTTGTTAAACAAACTTAATTTTGAACGTTTACATAATAATGGGTAAAGCAATCTAATACTTCCTCCTCCGCACTTTGCAGCCTGTCATGGACTAGGTGACCAGACCATGACTGGGCCACCAATGCAGTATCGTCAGCATAGGGATAGACTTCACAGTTGCTGGGACTAGGGACGTCATGGATGTACAGTGAGTAAAGGATAGGTCCAAGGACCGAACCCTGAGGGACGCCGGCTGTAATCAGCCGTGTTGTCGACAGGACATTGTCAATTTTGATCCGAAATTTCCTACCTTCAAGGAAGGATTTCAGTAGTTTTAGAAGCCAAAAAGGGAAGCCCTTTTGGATTAGTTTATTTATTATTATTATTATTATGATAATTGAGATGAGCAGAGTACACAGTACTATAAGCTCATGCAGTAAATATAGTGTACGGACACGTAACACAAATACATCAAATAGAAAAAAAAAATACAGTTCATAGCTATAAAGTTTGTACACTCCTCCAGCTATCATACTGCACTTTGAAGCTATTAACTGAAGTAGCACCAACCACACTTTCAGGTAAACTATTCCAGGTGTTGAATATGC